CTGCTTCCCTCAGTGATTCACCTCCGTATATCATTGTTTCCAAAATAGCAGTATTGAAAAATTGGGCTCATTTCTTCTTGTTCCACATTATAAGAACACAGGCGGTACCGTTAGATTTATCCTCATCAGGTGTAATTTAGCGTCCGAACCCGGGCCAACCATTTATGGGTCATGTCCAATTCATGATCTGGTTCGACATAACTATCGCTTCGCCGGATCAGCAACAATCGTTACCTTATTTCCACTTCTTTATTTCGCGCATTATGTTGCTGTAGCTCGGAATGTGAGAACAAATTGAGCTGCTCCATTCGAATTGTTTGAAATCACAAGAAAAAAGATTTTAAAAAGACGGCGCGGAGATTCTTCATTTGTAAAAATTTCCGTTTTTTTTTTTTTTTTTTTTTTCAAGTAGAAATTTGTAAAAACTGTCGTATTTTCAAATTTATAAAAAAAGAAATTCTCCACTTATCAAAAAACTGCGGTAAAAATCAGCACAAACACTGTATTTTAGGTTATTGACACACCCGGTATCCTTGATCAGCCGTTGGAAGAGCGCAACACCATTGAAATGCAAGCGATCACAGCTCTTGCTCATTTACGAGCCGCAGTACTGTTCATCATCGACATCAGTGAAATGTGCGATCACACTATCGAGGAGCAGGTAACTACGGGGTTTTTTTTTTCGCATGATGTTTGTGAAACTTTGCCCCAGCAATGAATCTTATTCTTTGTCGGCGCCGAGTGAATGATGAATTTTTCAGGTTGCTTTATTTGAAAGCATCAGCCCGTTGTTTGTGAACAAACCCGTACTGGTAGGCCTGAATAAGATCGATATCACAGGACGACAAGAACTTAAGCCCGAGCAGGTCAAGTGCCTTGCAAAACTGGAGGAACGTTCGGTGCCTGTCTTCGAGCTGAGCACCGTCACGCAGCAAGGAGTCACGGATTTCAAAAATACGGTCTTATTTTTGAATATTTTATACGTATATTACACACACTGGTATTTGTATGTAGCACCGTCTGCGCAGATTTTTTAACAGTTTTCATTCAGCTAACTTTTTGCCGTTAGTAATGCATGATTTTTTGAGCTTTAGGCTTGTGATAATCTGCTATCGCAGCGCGTTGAAAGCAAGCTACAATCGAGAAAACTGGATGGCCCAGATAGCGTCCTCAATCGTATCTTTGTCGCCTATCCAACTCCAAGAGATGACAAGGTTCGTGTATATTTTTTTTCTCTGAAAATGCATTTTTGTGTTCTTAATTCCGGACCGAATTTTCAAAATTTAAAAGTTTTTGTTTTTTTGCCTTTTTTTAAATCAGACTGTTGTTTCACCATGCTAAATACCTGTATCAGTTGTTGAATTTAAGGTGCGAGCACCGTACATCCCGGAAGCAGTACTAAAGAAGAGGATTCTGAGCGCCAGCAATCCAAATATTGAAAGAAGCGCTGGGATGCGTAAATTAGAACGACAGATAGAACTGGAAATGCAGGACGAATACATTCTTGATTTGAAAAGTAATTTTTCGAACTATTCATATTCACTTATATTAAAGGAAAGAGGACAAATGCCACCATAGGGCGAGATTTGAAAATTATTTCATTTATTTAGAGGTTTCGTTATTTTTTTCTTAATTTTTTAACGTACGCTTTTATTAGTTACTATCTTACAAATTCAGCAAGATCTGGGCTTACTATGTCAGGATGGAGTTTATGTTGATGTTCTGGTATTCACAGTTATGAGCTATGTTATAAAGCATCAGCTCCCTTAGTTTTTGACTTTTCTAATTAAGTTTTTATGGCCATACCATGCGTGATTCTACGATACAGTGCATTTTTGCATGCATCAGTGATTTGTCCAAAAATTCAATCTAACAGATTGCCACCGGACAATAGGGAGCTGAGGAACAGCAGCGGCCTCATCTGCCGCCTCACAAATTGATTGACGCGCAAAAACAATCACTACTTCATTTCTAATCACAACATTACATATCACGGGGGGAGGAATTCGTGTCAGAAGACGGGACATTTGCATATCACATGGAATCGAAGAGCAGTTGGGCAAGGCGAAGGGGGTTTAGCCGGCAGCTTCGTTTCCTTGCTGTTAACACCTTTTTCCTTTTGCAACGGATGCGCACTGCCATTCTGTTTTTGTGTTGTTTTTTTGTAATGGAGTTAAATCTCTGTAGCTAATGTCATCTGCGTGTTTGTTCCAGAGCATTACTTACTGAAAAACGAGGAAGAGAAGTACGATATTATCCCAGAAATATGGGAAGGACATAACATTGCTGATTTCGTTGCGTCAAACATCAAAGAAGAGCTGGAAGCAATAAAAGCAGAGGAAGATGCGAGAGTAAAAGCTGGGTGAGATAAATTTGTGTGAAGTTTTTTTAAACTATGCAAAGAGGATGCTTTTGTTTAGCATGTTTCTAGTTCT